CTCTTTCCCAATCCTTCTCTGGCTGGCCCTGCCCCCAGCCTCCTCCTACTCACCATGGACCTCACCCATCAGGGCTGCACCCCCTCCCAGGTCCCGAACCATCCACACTGACACAGGCTCACAGTTCTCCCATCCAGAAAAACTCCCCCTGGACTCGACCTTCAAATTCTCCCTGCGCCTCCCGCCCCCTCTTGTCCTCTCAGACCTGCATTGGGAAGAACAGCCACCTCCACCCCTTTCTCCCTTGTGCCACCAATCGGTGCCTCCTGCAGAAAACGCGCCAGGCTCCTTGAAGTGCTTTCATCCCGGTGCCTGTCCGGGCCTAGGCTGCACCGGGATGTACAGAATTATCCAAAAGCAGCTTTGTGATGCTGCTGCAGCCCAGATCTCTTGGTGTGCGGAGGTTCCTCCGCGCCTGGAGCTGCTGCAGCCAGCCTGAGCACCGCAGAGCCCTGTGGTCATTTACCGTCACAGATGAGTTCAAGTCTCCAAACCCGAGTCACAGCCAAGATTCAGAACTGACTGACGCCGAACTCATTCCTGGTGCCATGGGGTGAGAGTAAGGAGTGAGGGCCCTCTTCCCTCCTTCTCTGCTCAGATCCCCTCTTCGAGCGTCCCCACGTGTCAACTGGGTGGAGCGGGAAGGAGTGAGAAGCCCTGCCCATCAGGTATTGCGGACACGGGGCCTGTCTCTGGGTGCTTGCAGGGTGTGGGGTGGACTCTCTTGGGCACTTTCGTGGCCACTCAGGGGCCCCCAACCGGGCTCCTATGGTTCTCCCTCCTGCTACAGCCTCAGGAATCCAAGTCCCGCCCCAGTCCTCCTCCCTGGGCCGTTTGCCCCTCTTGACAGCCCATGAATCTAAGAGAATCCGCAGGCTGGCCCACTCGGCCCTGGCCCACCTTGTCCCCTGGGAGACACACTCCCTTTGCTGAACTAGGGCCAAAGCGTGATGCAGCTGATACAGGGCTTGAGACAGACGCCAGCCAGTGTGCCATCCCTGTGGCACTCAGGGGGCACACCTTAAGCTCTGTGAGCATCCCAAGGAAGCCCCTCTGCATCTAGGGTGAGAAGCAGGCCCCCGCAGGGCAGGTTGGGTGCCCCAGCAGCTCTGTCCAAGCCCCCTCTTCACCCACACTGTCTGGTCCGTGGTTTCCATGTGATCTTGCAGCCGTGCAGCCACCTGTCAGCCTCCAACTGTGAAAAAGTATGCCTCCTACCAGGGGTCTGACAAAGCCCTCTCTTAGCATCTGATGTCTCCTGTGCTTGGTGCCGCCGCGAACGCTCACAGTCTGGCACCGGTCACACTTGGCTGGGTCTGACTTCGCTGCCTGGCCTGAGTGCTGGCTTTTCTTCCTTAAGCACAGTCAGGCAAACTTGGGTTCGAATCCCAACTCTACCATTTAGGAACTCTGTGGCTTTGGACCTCTAAGACCTTCTGTTTTCTTTTCTTCTGCAAAATGGGGTTGCAATCGTTGCCTCATAGGATTGGCATGGTGTTTATTTTTATTTTATTTATTTATTTACTTACTTACTTATTGCTGCATTGGGTCTTCATTGATGCACGCGGCTTTCTCTAGTTGAGGCGAGTGGGGGCTACTCTTCATTGCGGTGCGCGGGCTTCTCATTGTGGTGGCTTCTCTTGTTGCGGAGCACAGGCTCTAGGCATGCGGGCTTCAGTAGTTGTGGCACGCGGGCTCAGTAGTTGTGGCACGCGGGCTTAGCTGCTCCGCAGCATGTGGGATCTTCCCGGACCAGGGCTCGAACCTATGTCCCCTGCATTGGCAGGCAGATTCTTAACCCCTGTGCCACCAGGGAAGTCCTGTCACAGTGTTTAGTTGACATAGGGTCTGTGTCACACTGGAGCCAGAATACATTTTCTATACGTTTTCTTTCCCCTCTTTCCTTGGGCCAGTCCTGGCCTCACTGTACATGTGTGTTCCTGCTTCCAGACCCCCAGGGCATCACCACCCCTTCGTCTCCTTCCTAGTCACAGTTAGTGGTTCCCTCCCCACCAGGCTTCCCACCCACTCCAGGCTCCCTCCCGTCCCTGGGGACATTGCCAGGGCAGGGAGCCCCTCTGGACCTCAAACAGGGCCTGTGATCTAACTGATACTCTTAAATGTTTGTTGGAGCTGCAAACAACTGGTAGCTGAAAAGCATCTGTGGACTCAGAACTTCCTCTGAACCTGTCAGTAGCACGGAGCCTTAACTGGCAGATGCTTCTAGGTGGCAGCCAATTGGAGGAGCCTGGACCCCAGAGGGGCTTCTTGGAGGCACAGGTCCAGGAGAGGAGGTGGGAGCTGGGCTGCCATGGTCCAGGCTCTGGGGTGCTGACACCCAATAAAAAGAAGGGGCCCTGGAAGCAGTTAGCCACATCATCAGGTCAGAACCCAATCGCCTTTGCTGCAAGAGCAGGCCTCCCGTCCTCCTCCTTGTTTTTGGCCTGCTGTCTCCTGATTGGCTGACCTTACTGGTCCACAGAGATGGCCTCATCCCTTCACTTTTTGGTGACAGCAGTTTCACCTGAGGTCTGAGGTTCTCTCTGTGGCAGACCTGAGCCAAGACCATACACTTCCACAGTCCTGTCCCTCTGACCTTAAAATAACAAATCCCAGAAGAATACAGAACAATGATCATCTATTTTTATCGATTTCCCCAGAAATGTAAAAGATTGGCTTAACTGCACTAGCAGATTCCTTCATTTTCTGGAAAGATACCTCAAATGGGGATAATTTTTTAAGACAGTTGGATGAACGTCTCCCTGCCAGGACAAACAGGAAGGTGGCCTCGCCGTGCTGACAGCATGTCCAGCCTCCCTGGGCCTGGAGGGGCCTCTTAGATATGGGAGAGAAGGAGCAAGCGGCCCTGGGGGAGGGGGAGAGGCCTCAGCGTAGCCACTTTCCCGGTGGTTTTGATTGGGTTCCAACCTGCTGACCCTCATGAGGAAACACCAGCCTGTTGCTGGTGCTTGACTGGCTGCCTCGCAGGGTCACCATGAGAACCAAATGAGAGGAGGTACGTAAGAGTTGGCAAGTGGTTCCTGAGCCGAGTTTGGGGGACTAACCAGGCGTTGGCCAGGTGAGGAGGTGGCGGTCCCAGGCAGAGAGGACGGCAGAGGTGGCTGCAGACGGGGGCGGTGGCCTGTGCGCAGGAAGGACACAGCATGGGCTGGAGAGCACTGCTCATCTCGCCTCCTGTTCTCTCGGCCCACCTGGGACCCTGGGGGGGGGGTCATGCACAACCCCCCTCCCGCCGGCTCTGCAACCTTACCCTGCCCCTGCCACACCTCCAACCTCAGCCCTGAATCAAGCCTCCTTGTTTTATGACAAAATGAATATATCGTTCTAGCTAAACAGCAGCCACTAGCAGCCCAGAGATCTACAGTGCGGTGTGAAGTCCTCTCCCCGCCGCTCACCGGAGGGGCGCCCCCTGGGGCTGGCTCAGTGGCGTCTCCATGCATGAGCATCACATAGGACAAAGTCAACCCACTGTGACGTCCAGACACGCCAGTCGATTCCCTGGAACTGGCTTGAGTTCTTCGGGGGAGGGGGTGTCTCTTTAGTTGCTCCCCAGGAAGCTCAAAATATCAGTTTGGCCTGAGCTGGGAGGGATTAATGGGTGTGGAGGGCCGTCTCCGCCCCTGTCCCTGAGTCCCCCAGGGGGCATGGCCTCACCTCCCTTGAGGATCCGGCCCAGGGCTGAGCTGAAAAGACCCAAGAAGAAACCAAAGAAACCGGCCTGGCCTCTCGCCAGAGCCACACCGACCGCAGGTGGGAGGCCCACGCCTCACTTCCCCAGCCAGCTAAACGCTGCTGCTCCCCGCGAGCGGCTCCAGCGCATCTTCTCCCGATTAGCAACCTGGCCAGCATGTTCTAGGCTGCTCGATGCCGACCTCAGTCTAGAACTGTCTGTCGTTCAGCTGCAGGAGAGGGAAGGCGCCAGGGGGACAGGGCATATTGAAGCTGGGCGTGGCTTGTGCAGCTGACGTCCGGGCGGGGGGCGGGGGGTGGGGAGAGGTGGCAGCTGCTGACCCTGCACAGGATCTGACCAGCGCCTCAGAGCCTGCTGGAGGGCGGACCGCCCAGCCGGGCAGGCTGCCGCTTTGGGAGCTTTCAAACTGTTTTCCTAGGTGCCTCTGATGAGAGGGGGGTGGTACATGGGGGTGGGGGAGAAGACAGCTCCCGGAGAACTGCCTTTGTCGTGCTCACGGCCAAATGGCTGCATATGGAATACCTCTGCATTGTTGGAAAGCTTCTGGGGCGTTGCTTGTTATAGTCTATAAAACCTTGACAAATTCTTCCCCAATCTCAGATTCAGGGCAAGGTTTGTCTGTCCTGATTGTTCCCTGGCATGCCTCCCCCTCGGGCTGGGGAGAGCCCTGGGCAGACCTGCCTCCCTCTGTGCGTCTGTCTATGCCAGGAACTGCCTCATCCTGCCAGGAAGGGTTTCGTTATTTTGTTTCCTGCCTCTTTGCTCTTTACTTCTCATCCTTCACCAGCTTCGGGTTGTCTCAGACCTGTGATTTTGTCCAACGTGGCTTCTTGATCTTTGGGAGGGAGAGTGGTTGGAAGCGTGGGGTCTGGGGTCATCCAGCCCGGGGTCGGGGGGAGCGGGTGGCAGCTCCGCTCCATACCTGCAGAGAAACTGAAAGCTAGAGGCTTGACCTCCCTGACCCCAGACTCTTCCTCTCTGTAAAATGGAGCCCTTACACACTTGTGCCTTGGGTGTGTTGGGAAGTGTAGAGTCATAACGTGTAAAGCACTTGGACACCACCTGCACACACTGAGGGCGTGGGACGTGTGAGTGTGAGGCACGGTGCTCAAGGGGAAGCAGGGGATCGAAGCTACCACTCTCTCCTTTTCCTTCCCCTGCAGGAGGGCAGTCAGTGACCCACACCGGCCTCCCCGTTGTGGTATCTCTGGCCAACAAGGCCGTGTCCTTCGGCTGCAGGATTACCTACCCATACACCCCCGACTTCAAGGACTTCACAGTCAGCTACTTTCATGTGGACCTCCAGGGCCAGACGAGCTCTGAGGAGAAGACCAGCTGCAAACCTGGTCCAGGCAGAGAGAACCAGACCCACACCGAAGAGTGTCAGATCACCCCCAAGCTGCCTGACGCCTCTGCCACTGGCACCTACTACTGCTCCGTCCGCTGGCCGGGCTCCAGGGTGACAGGCAGCGGCACCTTCATCCTGGTCAGAGGTGAGCTTCCTCCGTGTCTCTTCCCAGGGCGAAGGGCCCGGAGGTTTCATCCGGCAGACTTTGGGGCACAGGAGCCGAAGTGGGGAACGTTTGCCTCATTGTTCAGCTTTGGCAAAACAGAACAGAGCAGCCTCGGGGAGCCCCTGGCCACACAGGTGTGCCGAGACGCCCATCTTTGTGCGGCAAGGGCAGAAGCCTGGGGTGTGGATCTGGCTACCTCTGGCAGGCCCTTGTCTCAGTGTCCCTTTGGCACTATTAGTTCGGTGAGCACAGAATGGGGCATGTGCATGTGTGTTTGTAGAGACCTGTGAACAAAGACACGGCTCGTGTATATCTTTCTGGGGACAGATTCCTAGTTTTCATCACATTCTCAAAAGAGTAATGACTCCAAAAGGTTAAGAACAGCCCGTCACTGAAGTCGTGATTCTCTGAGGCACCTCTGAGACTCCCACTGGTAGGGGCCAGGGTTACAGAATCCCACGGACCTGAGTTTGGCCCTCAGTCCTGCTGCTTGCCAGGATGTCACCTTGGACCTACTCTTCATGGCAATACCCTGCCTGTCAGAGGCTTTTCCTGGGATGAGTGAGATCCTGAATGCAAGGGCTGGCGCCCGGTAGCAGGATGTGCTAGTTAAATAACAGACACTCATGTGCCTGGCATGTGGTTGGCACTCCGCAATTTTTTTTTTTTTTTTTTTTTTTTTTTGCGATATGTGGGCCTCTCACTGTCGTGGCCTTTCCCGTTGCCGGACGCGCAAGCTCAGCGGCCACGGCTCACAGGCCCAGCCGCTATGCGGCTCACGGGCCCAGCCGCTACGCGGCATGTGGGATCCTCCCAGACCGGGGCACGAACCCGTATCCCCTGCATCGGCAGGCGGACTCTCAACCACTGCGACACTCCGCAATTTTTGACCAACCAGCTGGACAGAGGGGTGGACAGAGGCACGGAAGGAGAAAGGGGTAGATGAAAGGCTGGATGGCTCAAGGGAAAGGGCTGGGCTGTGCTCTCACCTACCCCTGGTGCCGGCAGCACCTGCCAGGCCTTGTACAAGCCCACCCCCTTCCCCCTCACCACTCCTGCCCGTATGATCACCACTTCACGTGTGGAAAGGAGGAGGCCCCAGGAGGCACAATGACTCACCCAGGTCCCATAAGCACCTCTCGGTGGACCCAAGGCACCGAGGCAGGGGCACCTAAGAAGCAAAGGATGTAGTCCTTACTCCTAACAAGAATCAAGACAGCAAACATAGAAACATAGCCAAGGCGAGTGTGGGAAGGAGGACCTCAGCAGAGGCGGGGTCTGGGTACCCTGGTGGGGGAGAGTTGTAAGTAGGGTTGGGGGGTGGGCGGTGTCTCTCCCAGGCAACTAACGTCTCTGCTTCCCTGCCCTGCACCCAGACACAGGCTACCAAGAGCCCCCGCAGGGCCCCCAGGATCTCCTGCTTTTTTGCTTCATCGGCATCCTGACTGTCCTGAGCATTCTGGCCACGGCCCTGCTGCTCTGGAAGAAGGTAGGGGCTGCAGGCACACGGCAACGCTGCCCCCACCACACTCACTGTGGCTTAGGGATTCCACCCCATGAGGGGGTCCCTGGGATAGGTGTTCCTCATGGCCACTTGCATCAGGGCCCCCTCCCTTGCGCTGCGCTGTGGCTGGACCTGTGCTGCCAGCTCATCACCACCAGGTCCTTTTTGATCTTGTTGCAAGAAATCAGGGCTCTTGAGCCTTTTCCGGGCCACGGGTCCCTCTGAGTGTCTGATGGAAGCCATGAGCCCGCATGCTTACCATTTCTAGCCCTCCAGATTAGGAAACCTTATCTCAGATTTTCTGCATCCCCAGCAGCCCAGAAGGAAGGAAGAAGCATTTCCTCAGGGCCGCGGGGTGCCAGGCACCCTCCCAGGCGTGCTCTGGTTCGCGTCCCAGTGTCACTCTGTGAGAGAGTTTTCTTCCCATTTTACAGCTCTGAAAAGTGAGGCTCAGAGAGGCGGTGACTGGCCCTTAATATATTTCCTCCCCTGCTGCTCTTCCAAGGATGGGTACAGGCAGGACAGCTCTTGTTTACCCTCACTGAGCAGCTCCCAGGCTTCAACCTGGTTGTGGACACAGTAACTGGGCTTCAGGCAGGGGTGCTGAGGGACTCATACTCCGTCTGTGGACCGCCCCCCCC